ACAAGATTAGCCACCCTCCAGTCCTTCAGCAACTCACCCGTGGCTGTAGATGATACAAATATCTCTGCTAGGGGCCCGTAATTTCTTCCCAAACTTGACACAACATCCTGGGATACGCTTCATCAGGTCCTGGAGATTTATCCCCCCTTTATGTTTTTTAAGACCTCCAGCACCTCCAGCACTTCCTCCTCTGTAATGTGGACTGTTTTCAAGACATTAATATTTTTTTCCATGAGTTCCCTGGCCTCCATGTCTTCCTCCACAGTAAAAACTGACACAAAATATTCCTTTAGTATCCCTCCCATCTCCTGTGGTTCTACACATAGATGACCTTGTTGATCTTTAAGGGACTCTATTCTCTCCCTAGTTGCTCTTTTACAGAGTCTTAGATTCTTAAAGCACGGAAACAGAGCTTTCAGTCCAATCAGTCCATGCCAACCACATCACAAACTAAATTAGTCCCACCTGCCTGCGCTTGGCCCATATTCCTCCGAGCATTTCTTGTTCACCTACTTATTTAAATGTATTTTAAACACTGCAACTGTACTGGCATCCACCACACACAAACCACTGTCTATGGTTTTTACTTTTGCTCTTAATGTACTTGTAGAATCTCTTTGGGTTATCCTTAACCTCATCTGCCAAGGTTATCTCATATCCCCTTTTTGTCCTCCTGATTTCCCTCTTAAGAATGCCCCATACCCCTTATACTATTCAAGAGATTCACTTGATCCCCATTGTCTATATCTAACATAAGCCTCAATATCTTTACTCATTCATTGTCCCCTACTCAGACTAGCCTTGTCCTTCACTCTACCAGGAGAATGATGCCTCTGAGCTCTCATTACCACACTTTTGAAAGCTTTTGAAAGCTTCCCACATGCCAATCATCCTTTTATCTGCGAAGTCTACTCCAATCAAATTTTGAAAGTTTCTGTCTCATACCGTCAAAATTTGCCTTACTCCAATTAAGAAGTTTAACTTTAAACAAGGCCTATCCTTTTCCATAACTAATTTAAAGTTAACAGAATTATGATCACTGATCCCAAAGTGCTCCCCCACCAACACTTCAGTCACTTGTCCTGCCTTATTTCCCGAGAGAAGGTCAAGTTGTTTTCCTTCCCTAGTGGGTGCACCTACATAATGATAAAGTAAATTTTTTGAACACATCTAACAAATTCCTCACCATCCAAATCCTTAACATAATGACAGTCCCAGTCTATCTTTGGAAAGTTAAAATTGCTTACTATTGTGACATTATTTTGACATGTATCTGAGACCTCTCTACATATTTGCTCTTCAGTTTCCCACTGACTATTGGAGGGCCTATAGTAAAATCTCATCAAGGTGATCATCCCATTCCTATTTCTGAGTTCCATCCATATAGCTTCACTGGACAATCCCTCAGAAATATCCTCTCAGTACAGCAGTAATAGCTTCCCTAATCAAAAATACTACTCCCCTTCCTCTCTTGCCTCCCTTTCTATCCTTTCATAGCATCTAAACTGTGGAACATTGAGCTGCCAGTCCTGTCCCTCCTTCAGACATATTTCTGTAATAGTTATGATGTCGCATCCCATGTTTCATACATGCCCTCAGTTCATCTGCCTTATCCATAAGAACCCTTGTAGTGAAATAAATGCAGTTCAATTCACCAGAAATGCCTCGTTTTCTGACTTGCTCTTGCCTGCCTTTTCTAATTAACTTGCTCTCTTTAACTTCAGAACCATCCTTGTCTGTCTTGCTATCCTCACTACTACTTAGGATTCCCCCACACTGCCTTCCTACTAGTTTAAAGGCTCCCGAATAGAACTAACAAATCTCCCCACCAGGATATTGGTCTCTCTCCAGTTCAGGTGAAAACCGTCTGTTTTGAACAGGTCCCTTCTGTCCCATAAGAAATCCCAATGTTCAAAAAATCTGAATCCTTGCCCACTGCACCATCTCCTCAACCAATGATTTATCTGCCCTATCTACTTATTCCTATTTTCAGTAGCTCATGGCACCAGGAGTAATCCAGAGATTACTACCTTTGAGATTCTGCTTTATAACCTCCTACCCAACATCCTGTATACAAATGTTTCAATTCGGGTGCTCTCTGTGTACTTGCAAACTTTCAAGCCTCTGCTCACAGATATCCATTTTAAATCTCTAAGCACAGAAAAGCACATTATGTTTTAAAGGAATCATGTAATGCTTTACCCCTTAACATTTTACAAACACCAGATTCTAACTTCATGCCTCCCAATCCACAAGTACTCGACACAACTTCTCAACACCTCCCCCGAAGAAAAAAAAGAATCATCATTATGAAAATTCAGAGATAACAAGGTGTAGAGCTGGATGAACACAGCAGGCCAAGCAGCATCAGAGGAGCAGGAAAGCTGACGTTTCGGGTCTGGACCCACAGCAGGCCAAGCAGCATCAGAGGAGCAGGAAAGCTGACGTTTCGGGTCTGGACCCTTCTTTCTGAAGAAGCTCTACACCTTGTTACCTCAGATTCTCCAGCATCAGCAGGTCCTACAATCTCTGAATCATTATGAAAATTCAGATTTTTTGCTTTTTTTAAAATCTTAACTCCATTATATTACTAAATCCATAGCTCATTACTCTACAGTTACACATTTTATACCGATTCTATTACTATATAACATTGAACACTAGCATTCTCTCTTATATAAGCATTTTTTTCTTAAACTCGCAATAAAGCATCTGCGACATTTTCACGACCTGCAACGTGTACAATCTGTAAATTAAAAGGTTGTAATATGAGACTCCAAAGAAATAATCTGCTGTTTTTGTCTTTAAATCTTTCCAGAAATGTCAAATGTGATAGGTAAGCACAATTGTCTTTGATGCATTGTTTGCAACATAAACATTAAAATGTTGTAAGGGCATTAACAAACTCAGTAGCTCTTTTTCAACGGTTGAATATTTTTTCCGGTGGATATTGAGTTTTTTTGAAAGTTAACTGATTGACCTTTCAATTCTACAATCATTTTCCTGTAACAACACAGTTCCAACCCTTACATCAAAGTCGCCATTGACGCAAGCGAAGGGTTTCAAAAAAATTTGGTGTGGTTAAAACTGATGCGGTGGTTACCACTGCTTTTAACTTCTCAAATGCCTCTTGGCATTGTTCCGTCCATCGGAATTTTATGTCCTTTTTTAACAAATCCATAATGGTGCCACAACACTACTGAAGTTTTGTACAAATTTCCTGTAGAATCCACTCAATCCTAAATATTATAGCACTTCCTTCTTTGGATGCCTGGAACGCTCCTGTGGTGGGTGCCTGGAACGCGTTGCCAGCGGAAGTGGTAGAGGCGGGCACAATAGCGTCATTTAAGATGTATCTAGACAGATATATGAATGGGCAGGGAGCAGAGGGATACAGATCCTTGGAAATTAGGTGACTGGTTTAGATAGAGGATCTGGATCGGCGCAGGCTTGGAGGGCCGAAGGGCCTGTTCCTGTGCTGTAATTTTCTTTGTTCTTTGTTCCTTTGTTCTTTGAAGATGGTCTTGGAAATTCCTCAATGGCCTTTTTCTTCAAGTTCCTTGGTGGCATCCATCCATATCTGATGTTGCGCCCGAAGAATGTCACTTCCGCCTTTACAAATTCTGTTTTTGCCAAGTTTATGACCAACTTTGCTTTCCGTAGTCTCTCAAAGAGCTCCGTCAAATGCTCCATGTGATCTTTCCACAAATGGCTAAAGATCATTAAGTCATCTATGTAGACAACACAATTAGTCAATCCTGCAACAACTCTGTTCATAAGTCTTTGAAAAGTGGCTGGTGCATTTTTCATTCCAAAGAGCATTACTTTAAATTGATATAGCCCATTTGGGGTCAGAAAAGCAGAAACAACTTCTACTATCTCCAACAAGGTACTTGCCATTAGCCACAAAGTAAGTCCACCTTTGTGATGTAAGTGGCTTGTCCCACATTTTTGCACACAATCCTCCAGTCTTGGAATTGGGTATGAGTCAGATTTGGTCACAGCATTGACCTTCCTATAATCTATGTAGAATCATTGAGTACCATCAGGTTTGGGAACCAACATGCTCAGCAAACTCTACACACTTTTGACTCATGTCTATGATGTCTTCTTGGTGCGTCGCTTCCAATTCCTTCTGAACCTGCGCTGCTTTGAAAGGATTAACCTGTAGGGGTGTTGTTTTATCAGAACAGCATTCCCTACGTCAACCCCACGTACTATGGCATTAGTCCGCCCCATTCCATTTGTCCATGGGTCCTCATAGCACTTTCAATTCAGTTCTCTGTTCCTGGGACAGATAGCTCACTAACCTATCTCATTCCTTAAGGACTTCCTCATTATTCAATTTATTTGAAGGCACAAAAATTCTAACCATCTGGATTTGATCCTCACTTGGAGTGACAGCAACTAATACCTGAGATAACAAGGTGTAGAGCTGGAATGAACACAGCAGGCCAAGCAGCATCAGAGGAGCAGGAAAGCTGACTTTTCGGGTCTAGACCCTTCTTCAGAAAAAAAAACAGAGTTGGACCGGTGCCAGGAGTTTCCCCTTCCGTGGGAAGTCTGGGCATGAGCCTGCGGGCGACGGTCCGAGTTCGATGGTGACAGCGGCTTTACTCTTTCCAAGCCACGCCGCATGCAACCTGCCCGCACCCTGTTGCCCCTCTGTCTCGCCAGAAGGCAGGGTCGAGGTCCTTCCAGTCTCCCATGGGCTTTTTTTTTCATTAACTCATCCCACACCCCCCAACCTGTAATCAGCATTAATATCACTTTTTCCCAGTTATTTTCAGTTCCGATGAAGGGTCACTGGGCTTGAAACATTAACTCTATTTTGCTCCGTACAGATACTGCCAGACCTGCTCAGTTTCTCCAACATTTACTGTTTTTGTTTAAGGTGGTGACACAGATGTATATTAGTTGAAATCTTAATGATTATAAAGATACGGTTGCATGACTCGAACGTTTTACCTTAAATGAACATTTCAGGTGTTAATTCTTACCTTACTTCCATCAGTTTTGGGTACTCCTTCCACCATACCCGCCGATGTTGATTAATCAGTGTATGCTCTTTGTTTACTTTTCCTGCTTGCAAGATTTTCTGAATCTATACATAAAATAAAAGGATTAAAATAGTAAAATTCGCTATTGTTCAATCAATAAATTGCACAAGGGAATGGGGTACTGAGTCATGGAAATTGAGAATTACTGATCAATGCTAAATTATCTGACTTCAAGCAACAGTAAGAACATGACAATTGGCAAAGGACGAGAAGAGAATATGTCAGCCAAGTTTTACTTTTTAACCATCCATTTGTGAAAATTTTATTTATCTGTAGGCTTAATTGAGACAAAGATCATGAATGGCAACGATACATCAACATTGTGGATTGAATTACAAGAGTCTTTACTCTTGAAGAACTCAAGCATGAAGAATAGTCAACAAAGTAAAACAACTGAAGACTATACAGCATTAACAGAAAAAAAACTTAGCATGATTCAAAGAGAAGAAAAAAATAAAATCGTGAATCACTGCATTTCATTCTTCCCCTTCCTTTGTTACCTCCTTCAGCCTTGGAAACCTTTGCTTCAATTTCATTTTCAACCTATTTCATTCACCTCCACCATTGGTGGTCATAGCTTCAGTTGGATTGTCTGGTCCCCAAGCTGTGAAATTCCTTCCTAAAGACTCTCACCTTTACTTCCAGATACTCCTTAAAATCTGTTTCTCTGTCCAAGCTTTTCACCTTTTCTAATACCAACTTCTGTGTGATTTTTGTTATGTTATGTTAAAGGTATTATATAAATGTAGGCTGTTGTAAAACATGGTCTGAATTCAACATTTACAAAACCAAAGTTTGCAAGCTCAAGTGAGAACTGTAAACACACTACAAGTAGCAAATGGATTTGAGCAGACATAGCTCTTGCTGAGATCTGACATTGTAAATAAAACTATATCTGAGAAACTAATCTGTTCCATCCATAAACAGGATACTTTCTACCCTTCACCTCTGTTATGTCTTCCTTCTACTATTACCTCTATTCAAGCAGACAGAGTGATTATCTGCTCCTATCTTTAGCTTTTACTTAGCACTCCCTCAACTCAACAACACAAATTAGATCTGGAACTGAGTGAGATGGAGAACATCACAGTCATTTTCAACCACTCCATGGCATAGCGGAACAGTACCCTAGACAATACATTTTCTTATTAATGCAAATTCACTATATTTGATTTGATTTGATTTATTGCCACATGTACCCAGGTACGGTGAAAAGTTTTGTTTTGCGTGCAGTATAGGCAGATTATACCATACAAAGTGCATTAGGGTAATAGAACAGAACAAGGAAATTAATGTTACGGCTGCAGAGAAGGTGTACAAAGAGCAAGATCAACATTAAATTTGAAATTTGAGAGGTTCATTCAGAAGTATAATAACAGTAGGGAAGAAACTGTTCTTGAATCTCTTGTTTATGCTTTTGTACCTTCTGCCTGATGGAAGAGGTTGGAAGAGATTATAATGGGGATGGGAGGAGTGTTGATTATGTTAGTTGTCTTTCCGAGGCAGTGTCAAGTATAGATGGAGCCAATGGATGGAAGGTTGGCTTGCGTGATGGACTGGATTGTGTTCATGACTCTCTGCGGTCTCTTACAGTCCTGGGCAGAGCAGTTGCCTACCAAGCCGCGATGCATCCGGATGGAATGTTTTCTATGGTGCAACTATAAAAATTAGTAAGAGTCTTTACGGAGATGCCAAATTTCCTTAGCATCCTGAGGAAGTTGAAGTGCTGTTGCACTTTACCGACCATCGCATCAACATGGGTAGACCAGGCCAGAATGTTAGTGATCGTCACCCCTAGGAACTTGACACTCTCGACCATCTGCACTTCAGCTCCATTGATGTAGATAGGGGCATGGCCTCCACCTTGCTTCCAGAAGTCAGTGACCAGCTCTTTCATTTTGCTGAGAGAGACTGTTGGGTTTACACCACACCACCAAGCACTCTATCTCTTTCCTGTATTCTGTCTCATCATTGTTTGAGATCTGGCCTACAATCTTGGTGTCGTCAATGAAACTGTAGAAGGAGTTAGTATGAAATTTGGCCACAAAGTCATGAATGTATAGGGAGTATGATAAGGGACTGAGTACACAGCCTTGCGGGGCGCCAGTGTTGAGGATTGTCATGGAGGAAGTGCTGTTGCCTATTCTCACTGAATGCAGTTTGTTGGTCAGGAAGTCAAGTATCCAGTTGCAGAGGCTGGAGCAGAAACCTAGGTCTCAGACTTTGGGGACTAGTTTGATTGGAATGATAGTGTTGAAGGCGGAGCTGTAGTCAATGAGTAGGAGCCTGACGTAGGTATCCTTGTTATCCAGACCGTACAGGGATGATTGTAGGGCCAGGGAGATAGTGTCTGCCGTGGACCTGTTGTGTTCTTAGCGAATTGCAAGGGATCAAGGCAGGCAGGCTAGAAGGCTAGAGTTGATATGAGCCATGATTAACCTATTTATTCGAAGTATTAGTTTTAAAAAATTCCAAATCTAATATCTTAATGCATGAATAGTTCAATGCCAACATGTTGGTGAATTTTATTTAAAGAACTAGTTAATTCTGTTTATCAGATTTAAAGGCCACACACAACACAGATACTGGCAGGGGTCACTGCATTGTACACAGACATATTGTTAACAATAAACCATGTGTGGAAGATTCCAGAATGCCTTAAAATCACTACTCAACATTGTGAGTGACAATATGCCCATGCCAGTAGACTAGTTCTGCAAAACTGAATGGTGTAGCTACTGTAGAATTTTAAATCAACCAAAGAATCGACTTCCCGTAATAAAGGCTCATAAATGCATTTGTTTGCGCTTCTCTGCACTGTTCCAACAGAAAAGGCATGAGATGATCTACTACCACAGCTCTACAAATATTCATTTTGAATCAGTAGCTCGGAGATGCATAAGTAAATAGTTGTTTGACATGCCTTTGGATTTTTCCTCCAACCTTCTGAGTTAACATCTGGTTCACATATGGTCTTCATTAGATAACTGGGAGGACAAACCTAAATCTAGCCACAAAATGATTAGGTGGATTTTTCAATTAGTGTCTCAGTACTATCACACAGCTATTACAAGGTTATTCCTTTAAATCAATTGCTTTTGATAAACTGTTACATTAATTTAAATAGGCCCATAGAGCATAAAGCTTATACTTTAAAAGTTTATGCCTGAAGGTTGGCACCTCAGACAAAATAATTTATATACTACTGCATTATATGTTCAATTCCAAAATAATCATTTCAAAAATTGATCTGCTCAAATCAATTTTGTCAGATTTTAAATTACTTGTCATGATAGGCTAGCATCCAAAATGGATGATGGGATAAATTCAATGGAAATGTTTAATTTTGCGTATTAGAAACTCTTAAAAAAGATATTGGGCAGGTGAGATGTGGCAAATTCATTATAAAGGAATTAAAAATATCTTGAAACAGTAAATAAAAAAGGAATGGCAAGTGCAGAATTCAAATCACTAACAGTGATGGGCATACTCTATGTGAAAGGAACACTAAAGTAAGCACTTAAGCGGGATCGAGAGATACTATGTTGAAGTTGAAAGATGTGAAAAAGACATCAACAGGGTAGAAGGACAGGTCAGGGTCCCTTGCCCAAATAGTTAGTTCATATAGCAATGCACAGAGCATTATTACGATCCCGTAGAGACTGTTAATTCTTAAGATATATGAATTCCTCAATGATCTGTTGCAAAGAATAGCACAAGATTTGTTTTGACCAAGATGGGAGAAGTGTACTGTCTTTCTCTAGTTACACTACTCCATGGGTCACAACATCAATTTAATTGTTCACCTTGTTCTGAGACATACAAATTAAGGAAAGGAGTAGGTAATTCAGTCCCTTTCAGCCTGCTCCAGCATGCAATAAAATCATGACTGATCTGATTGGACACTCATATCCACATTATCATGCAACCCTTGATAAGCTTTCACTTCCTTGCATAACAAGCACTATCTACCACTGCCTTAAAAATATTCAATGACTCTTCGTCCACCACCTTTACAGGAACAGAGTTCCAAAGATGTACAACTGTCCCAGTTTAAAAAATTCATCTCATCTCCATTTAAATGGGTCTAATTTTTAAATAGTTCTAGTTGTATGTTCTCCTAATAAGAGGACCTCTCAAAGACCCCTCCCAACTTCTTCCAATGTCTTTTGTCAGGCAAAATATACAAAAGCTTAAACACACGTACCAACAGGCTCAGAAACAGCTTCTTCCCTGCTGTCATTAGACTTCTGAATGGACCTCTCAAATTTTAATTATAACGTTGATCTTGCTTTTGTGCATCATTTTTTGCAGCCGTGACTTTGTATTCCTTGCTCTGTTCAATCACCTTATGATGTGACTGTACTGCATGCAAAACAAAACTTTTCACTGTACTTAGGTATATGTGATAATAATAAATCAAACCAAATCTGCGTCAAGATCCCTTAGAATCTTGTATGCTTTAATCAAGTTACCTCTTACTTTTCTAAATTCCAGCGATACAAGTTTAACCTATTCAACCTTTCCTTATTAGGCAACACTCCCATTCCTTAAACCAGGTGAACAATGTTGTACACAATGCTCCAGTTGTGGTTCACCGGTGCCCTGTAATACTGATGCATAACCTTCCTACTTTTGTATTCAATTCCTCTCACAATAAATGGTAACATTCTGTTAGCTTTCTTAATTACTTGTTGCACCTGCATATCAATCTTTCCCAATATATGCATAAGGATATCCAGATCCCTCCACATCTAAGAGCTCTGCAATCTCACACCATTCAAATAAGGTGATTCTTTTTTATTCTTCAAGCCAAAATGTGCAATTTCACATTTTCCTACATCGTACTCTATTTCCGCATCTTTGCCCACTCACTTAACTTAGCTATGTATCATTTGTGACCTCCTTATGTCCTCTTTACAACATCATATGGCTAAGTATATATTGTCTACATTAGACTTTAAAAAATTAATCAGACTTTGTTAATAAACACAAAATTATTAATTCTAATAAATAAAACTTGTTAAATGAGGGTAAAGAGAAG